TTTTGTTTAGAAGAAAAAGTCAAAATTCACAGATTCTTAAATGTGAATATGTTCTGGTTTACTCCTCTAGGACAGTGAACTGAATATCTTTGGGTTGTAGACAAAACAAGACATTTGAGGACGTCATCTTGGACATTGGAAAACACTGATTGACATTTTTCACAATTTTTTGACATTTTATAGACCAAACAACTAGTCGCTTAATCGAGAAAATAATCAACAGATCAGTCAACAATGAAAACAATCGTTGCCCTATTGTCCTGTTACACATGCAACTAAGCACACTATTTGTAGTCCTACCTATTACCTCCTTGCACCATGTTTCCACAAGCACTGACTCAAGACAAAACCTGCTACGCTAAATTGACTTTTGCCAGTGCCACCTTCCAACGGGGCATGTATACATACGATTTTAAAAATGTCTTTGCAATAGAGTAGAGATTAAAAGAAGCAGAGCGGCCACAGGTCTTATCTACTGCGCTTTCAGCAAAACCTCAGATACATGACAGACATGAGCAAGGATGTAACAGATGTTGTACGAAAGAGAAAGTTCAAATGAAAACTGCAAAAGAGTTATTCCCTGTGAGAGGAGAATCAGTCCCTGTTGTTGTCATTAACAGGAAGTGCAGTGTCAGCACACCTCTCAGTTCACGTTGATGTAGGCCTACTGTGTGAATGTATGTCAAACTGTTTCTGTTATAACTGCTCTAAAACCACTTGACCTGGAGGCATTAAAATTAGTGTTACTGCCACATACCTGCACAAATCAGCAAAGGCCTGGAAATTCAGCTTCTTCATCTTCTTCTCGCTGAGCCAGTAGCCGACTCTCCGGCCTTTCAGGAAGGTCTGCATCTCCACTGTGCTTCTGTACCTCCTCTGGAGGTAAACTGTGTGACTGAAGGCTCGACCTGGATAGGCGAAAACAGGAAACCACCGTATGACGTTAGTCTCACAACAGCCAACAATGAGGGGAATACTAAAGTTCTTGACTTGGCTTGTGATACATGAAACTCAAACACAGCCTGAAGTGGCGCTTTCTACACGTCTCTCGTGTGGAGCTTTACGCTCTCGTGGTTCGCATCTAGTTTCCAAACGTAATGTAACAGTGGATGTGGTTCAGCATCACTAAACCACACACATACGGACCCTCTTCTGCTAATCTCAATTGCTAACGTTAGCACGCTAGCTGGGTTGTGACAATCTGCATGGCTAACCGATGGCATGCAATTAAGAAAAAGGGGAACCAGCTTGCTAACAAGGCTGACCAACACTACATGGCTGAACAGAGTCATATCACTAATAAGTATCAAATGAGTTAACTACCGGTGGCTAGCAACGGCTAGTTAGCTACAAGAAGAAGCAACTGACTTAAGTACGCCAACGAGAGGCTGTGGTGAGCTAGCATTAACTAACCTGGCAATTTTAGCACAGTCCTCCCCCCAGAATGTGTGTCCTCTTCAGAAACTAGCTCGGGTAGTTTCCCATTCTCGTTCTAGTGGAGAAGAAGGAGAAGAAGAAGTTTTCAGATCAGGTGACAGGCACTGCTGGACCCGCGTTCAGATGTGCCCGGTGCTTCCTCTCCCAGTCTCTACATTGAACTGACTGCACACACCCAGGATCCAGGAGACTGATGCTGCCTTCACGAGCACCTCAGAAATTACCAACCTCCAACTGACGAATCACAGTCGGTCCTGACTTCACGTGATGTTGTGCTTTTATTATCCATTAACTTGCAGATTATTTCCCCAAGTAATCGATTAATCGAAAAGATTTTCATTTTCAATAATAAAAAGCCCTTCACTATTTGAGCAAGCAAACATTAGGCCTAAGCATTTTTGCTGAAAAATTACTGAAATGATTAATCGATTACCTAAATATTCCACTATTTATTTATGTTTTGTTTAGTGTTGTTTTATTGATTACTTGACTAATAGTCTTTACATAAGTAAATAAAAACACAAAATATCCGGTTGAACAGATAATGGAGACACCATCTCCATGTTTAAGAGTAGGCTGAAAACGTTCCTCTTTGATAAAGCTTATAGTTACCGCTGTCTCAGGTGAGCCCTGAACCACCCCTTAGGCTGCTATATGCCTAGACTTTATTGTTTCCACTACCATTACTATTATTTTATATATATATATGTGGAACTTGTATTAGCTACTGTGTGTGCTATTTCCTCCTGCTCTATCTTTCTCCCCCCTTTCCTCCCCCCCCCCCCCCCCCCCCTCTCAACCCAACCGGTGGAGGCAGTTGGGGCCCACCCTGACTCTAGGTTCTGCTCAAGGTTCCTGCTTGTTAAAAGGGAGTTTTTCCTGCCACTGTCACCAAGTGTTTGCTCATGGTGGGAAAATGTTGTGTCTCTGTAAATAGCATTAAAGCCGTACGTTCTGGATCTGCTAGATAGTGATGTGCCGATCCTAAAGTAGCCTATCGCTATTTCTGATACCAACGTTTCCTGCTATAGGATCAATACTCATATAAAAGGATCAATATCTAAACTCAGTCATCAGGAGTGAGTGTGTGTTTTATTATAGGTATCTTACTGTCACCAGGATGGTCTAATTATACTCGGTTGATAGGAACTACTTTTCCTTCCGCCTGTCAAAGTCATGCTTGCACTAAGGCTCTGTGACGGAGCTTCTTTGACGTGAGCCGCTGCAGCCCTTTAAATTTCCCGCGATTGAATATTTTAGCTGTGAAGGTAATAATGTTGCTCTGCGTGATGAGTGTGCAAAGACAATGAAATACTTTGGCAACACCGCAAACTTCGCTAAACATCTGAGATTAAGTATAATAGGATGATGTTATGAAGCGGCAGTTCTGAACAGGATATTTTTATTATAATTAAAGAATATGACAGTAGTTTGATGTCTTGTCATTATGCAGCTATTAATTTGAATTGGTAAGGCTACAGCCTACTCCTTATTTCTCTCATAAATACAGAAACGGGAGGGGGGAGGTCACATTAAAAGAAATAAAATATCTAAAAAGTATTGGTATCGGTATCGGTATCAGCAATACCAGCCTGGGTATTACTTGGTATTGGATCGTATAGGAATTAAGTGGTATCGCACATCACTACTACTATATATGAAAAAACAGTAGGAGAAGCCAACTTTATTTTTTCTCTCGGGACCCAAAATTATTAGCTGTGTCAGTGCACATTTACCATCTCATGGGCTGTTCATGGTGGTTCCACTATTTTCGACAGCCTGTGAAGGCACCCAGGACAGCGGATCAGAGAAGTTCCCCACGAGCACCACCTGTCAAACTCAAACTCCAGACAAGAAGATTTAAGAAAGTTCAAGACAACATGTGGATCAGTGAACCGGTTTGTGAATTTGAATACAAATCAACACCAGTTTGCATAATAAATTGATTTTGTATCTGTAGGCCCGTTGCTGCTTCCATAATGAAAGCACCCTCGTGCAACAGTCTACCGTCTTCGGGGCAGTAATCAGCACATAGTTTCTTATGCAGAGAAACATGCCACAGTGGCGCCATCCATTGGAAAAACACTGCAACATACAACAGTTGTTGTTTCCAGATTTAGCTACAGCTAGAACAAAACAGACAGGAACAACACGCGAAAATAAAATAAATAGCCTAAGTTGTAGGCACATAAAATTGTATTTTATGGATACAAGAATTGAGATTTTCCCTGCACTTATGTTTACACTCACTGGTTAATGTAAATATCCATAAATGTAGCTCTACATTTGATTGTGTTATTCAACTTATATTATTTTAATTTGGCTATACATTATTATTAGCCTAAGACTATCCTTATTTGTCCTGATAATATCAACGAGGGAAGTCTTTGTACATTCAGATAGCCTTATTATGCCCCTTGTCGAACTATAGGCCTATTTTTTATATATAAATAAATAGCCTATCTAAATAAATAGGATTAAAAATATTCCCAAATGCGTAAACAATTACCATGACGTTTAAAAAAAAACAAAAAAAACCCCCGAAAATATTTAAAAAATCTCCCTGCTCAGAAGGGAGGTGAGACCACAGATTTCTACCCCTCTCTCCCGACTTCTCATCTACAGCCTGGACAGGTAACATCCTAACACTTCAGACCTTTATTGTCTCTTTTGTTTTTCACCCACAAACGTGTTGGCTATGTGAGAGGGATTAGCCTGAGCCAATAGCCCGAATCTGTTGAGGCATGGTTAATGTTAATCAGATCATCATACAATTATAGTCAATTTAAAACCAGTTTAATGTATTCAGTGTATTCAGCCTAACCAGCATATATTTTTGGAAATTCATGACCACACAGCAGGTGCCCTTTAAAAAAATCAAACCCAAATGACCCTGCATAGCACTTTATGATAAGGAAGCCGTTAATGGGTTTATAAGTTGCAGCACATACTGTTAATGGTTTATCCAATTACTTACGTTAATAGGCTCAGATCAATTACAAACCATTCATGGAAAAAAATTGATTGCCAGATTGTAGAAAACCCCTTTGGCTAGCATTAGTCTTTTCTATTCGTCAATAATGATCTTATAAATTTTGGTAGCCAAATAATAAATGAATACATTCTTAACAAGTTGTTACTAAATGTTGTTCTACATCATCTGAAGCCATTTTCTGGAAGTGGTCACATGGTCCAATCAGGTGTTTTTGCAAACTGACAACCCACGAGTTTTACTTATTAATGGCTCTAAGGTAGAAATCATGAAATGATTGATTAACCATGAATTGATAACCATTAGTTATTCCTTATTCCTTCAGGGTGCCCTATATAAAAGCGTAATGTTACCCAAAAATAAATCAATAAGTAATAAAAAAAACAAGTAACCAACCATTGATAAAATAAATAAAAATAGTAATAGCAATAGCCTGCCTCTTGTCAAATATCAGCAGGGGCTTTTAGTTAACTTTTAGTTAGATCGTTAACGTTAATCGGTATCTTACGTCACTTCCTCCACGTGGTCTCGACTGAAACTCCCGCCCGGAGCAGTCATTTGTCAACACTGTTGTTGAGCTGCTCAGACCGGTGTCTGTTTGTGTCTTTGTGTCCTCTTCACTCTATTTTTTTTTACCAGCATGGCAGCAAATAAAGACGACTCAGACATTGACGATATTCTCGCCAACGAGGAAGAGCTGGAGAAGGCTTTGTGCGTGCTGGCTGGAAGCGACCCAGAAAAATGCTCTTATTCCCGGGTAAGAAAAGCTTCATGCGCCGCAGCCCTGCAGCCATCGCCTTTACCCGCCTACTGTCGCCTCTTCCCCTACTGCAGTTTTGCATTTAGTATTGTGCGCTCATTGTCACCGTGTGTGTCACAAACAAGCAATAGTTTTTTAATTGTAATTTCTCTTAAGCGGCTGGTAGTTTCTGAGGGGCCCTCAAGAGTGAAACTAAGGTGAAATTATAGCCCTGCTGCTTAGTAACGTTATCACTGCAGTATTTGTAGTTTGCTTAAGAATAACGAAGAGCTTCTATAGTGCTTTACTGCATCTCATTAATCACATACTGCGGTATATTTATACCTCCTGTGTTTTTGTTACAGGGCTATGTGAAGAGACAGGCTGTATTTGCCTGCAACACCTGCACTCCCAGTGCTGCAGAGCGTGCGGGGATATGTCTGGCCTGTGCCAATAAATGCCACGACGGACATGACATCTTTGAGCTGTATACCAAAAGGTATATTGTGGGTTCTCACAGTAAACAAATTCTGTCCCACAGTTTGCTTTGTCATCTAAACCCTTTTCTTAATCATTCCAAATTTTCCGATGTAGAAATTTCCGCTGTGATTGTGGGAATAGCAAGTTTGGGGAATTCAAGTGCCAACTAACTCCTGTGAGTCCTCTGGTTTTAATACTACTATTTCTAACAGATTCTGTACCCCCAGCTTGTTTTGCTGTTGACGTTGTGATTGTTGACATTGTTCCATCTCTCCTATTTGCAGGCCAAAGATGAGGGAAATGTTAGAAATCACTACAGTCACAACTTCAATGGCTGCTACTGCACGTGTGACCGGCCATACCCAGACACAGATGACCAGGTAGACCTTTTATTTATTATTATTTTTATCTCTGAGCTCTCATGTGATTTAATTATTTGGATGAAATCGACTGACTGCCACTACACTAAACACCCTTTTTATTATCCAATAGGCCAATGATGAAATGATTCAGTGTGTCATCTGTGAGGATTGGTTTCATAGCAGGGTAAGCTATTAAAACAAATATATTTATTTTAATTTACACTTTATACTATAAATCTTCTTCTTGTTAGGTAGTCATTCTGTTTCTCTTTGACAGCACCTGGGCTGTACTATAGTAGAACCTGAGGAGCTGCAAGAGATGGTGTGTGAAGCCTGCATGAACAAGGCTCCTTTCTTGTGGACATATGCTGCTCACTTTGCAGGTAGCTAATTTGCCTTTGCTGCACCCAGATATCTAACTTTGCATACATTTATCAGTAAAATCCATAGACTCATTTCCCACTTATTCTTTCCCCTTTAAGTACCACATGTGGTCAGCGTAAGTCATCCTGAGGAAGAAGTAGAAGTCTGTGTCGAGGAAGGAGCAGAAAATGAAGATGCTTCTGAGCCCAGTCAAATTAGGGATGTGGAACCGTCCACCAGCGCTGAGCAGACAAAGCAGGAGGTGAGGTGAACAGTGCTTATGATGGCCTCTGCCTGTTTGCATGGGAGTGTCTGCCGAGCAAAAACAGGCAGTGGGGAGTTAAAGTGAATAAGAAGTCCTAAAGACATGTCGCATTTACATCATATGGGATGGCTGGTAGAGACAGGAAAGATTCTCATGTTAACGATATGACTACGTATTACTAGGGCTGGGCGATATGGCCAAAAATGTTATCACGATAAAAAAATTACATATCATTCAATATCAATAATTATCATGATAAATGTCAAATCATTATTTCTTTCAAGTTTAAAGGCTGATTTTTGCCCCTGAATGATAATTGAAGGGCCAGATGGTTAATTGTGTGGTTAAACTTTTCTTAATGGTCAGAACATGACAAACACTTGATGCCAAACAGTGGATCACTTTACATATCTGAGCTAGAATATTCAAAACAATTATGATAAAATCTTTTTTCAAAAAATGTTATTAGGAAATCTACTTGCATCACTTTTCCTCAACAAAATAAATATTAATATAAAAATCAAGTGCTAATTCGTTCGTGATTCTAATGAATTAAATCAAATATTTGACAATATATTGAACATTTGTTATTGAGGAAAATTATATTGCGATAATTATCATTATTGTTTTATTGCCCAGCCCTACGTATGACTGGAGTTGGTTGTGTGAGTTAAAAGTTGTTGTTGGCTAACATGAGGTGTCCATGTTTGTTTGGCTCTCTGGAACTTCTATGTTATTAAGTCAAATGTATCGGAGCTTTCAGAAATATCTGAACTTCCGAGTTGCAATTGCAACTTGATGTCGACAAGTTGGAAGCTTGTATGTATGATAACTCCTATCTGACATGATGTCATTATCCTGTACCACCATTCATTTAACTTGTCTTGAAGCTATAACCTTTTATAGGCAAAAAAAGTAGTACATAGTAGTACATATGGGGATGTTTTGCAGATATAGGCAAAAAGGACATGTTTGTAAACTCTTTGCAGTTTTACTTCCGTTTGTTACTGGGCATTATCCCTATGTAAATAAACACTCAAATACTGTACATTCGGTCCCCTTTTCTAACCAATCCCTTGCTGCTAGCTCTTTATTTCACAGCTTAACTCCAAATGAAATCACAATCACAGTTGTGGAGGGCTTCTATGTTATAGCGGAGGGTATACATAAACAGTTAAACTATCAGAAGCACTCAACGTACTACTGTTAGTAGGAAACATCTGTCAGCATGAATGCAGATACACACCGTGCTCACTCAGTCTTTGTTAGTTTATTTACATCGGGATAATGCCCAGTTCATCGTACACATTCCCTCTGTGGCAGCTGGTGTATTTTGTTGCCACAAGATGGGGCTGGAGGGCAATGAGCAGCTTATAGAGCAGACTCCAGCTCCTGTTAACATGCTTTCCCCTCCTCTGGGTAATTAGAGGAGAAATGACCCATGAGGCACTGCTTCTCCCTGCTCTGTAGACGGCTTTGGCCAGGCTTCACAGGACAGCTTACTGTAAACTGCCAATTTTCATCGCCTAATCATCTCATCGTGCCAGTTGCCTTGAGACCTCTCTGGATAAATCTGCAGGGCTGGACGCGGAGATCTTTTTACAAAGTCCAGGTGTTATGAGCCTGCGCCTCCTGCCAGTTTAACACAGTAACACAACCCATCCTCTGTTGTTATGTGTATCTTAGGAAGCAGCAAACAGGAGTTCCCCTTGCAAACGGACGCACGAGGAAATGAGAGGCAGTCCTGTGAAGGCCACAACCAAAACTGCAACGTGCAGGCTGAAGGAGTTGCAGGCCCAGGGGCTGGAGAGGCTGAGACAGGGAGCGGTGTTCTGGCCTTACAGTTGGCGCTCCGAGCTCTGCACCTGCACAAGCTGCAAGGTAGACCACAAATACTAGCTCTCATATTATAATGTATGGTTTGGCAAAGGGCACAAGACAGCTACTTTGCAGGTGTTGGCTCTGCATGTGATCCAGGTTCATGTAACAGTGTAATGAAGTACTAAGGCACATTTTTTTTAAATGCATGGTTCTCAACTGTGTGTTGCATACACAGAAAGCCTATGTGGCTGCTGAGGTGCAGTTTCTAATGGATCAGTCCGATACCATTCTGGCCTATGAGAACAAAGGCCTAGAAGAGCCGTTTGGGCAGCACCCATTGATGGCACTGACAAACTCAATGGACCGTGTACAGCAGCTGGAGGTCATTTACGGTGAGCATGATGTGCGGTCAGTTTTCCTCCAAGGATGTAATCGTGAAATTTACAGGAGAGGCAATTGATTGAGACTAATTAATCGTGTTTCCCCCTTCAGGTTTCAACGAGCTGACAACTTCAATCACTGCATTTTTAGACCAGTGTGTTGCTGAAGGAAAGGTGAGAAATAGATGTCTATGTGCAAATATGGTCAGGACAGCTGGAATTAAACATAACAAGACCAACACCTATGCGTTTTTTGATCCATTTGTATTTACTCACCGTAATGTTTTCCCTTGATCCAAATCCCAAACCTGAACCGTTCCTTCTCTGTCTCTATCAGATGGTCACAGTCGAAGCTGTACATCAGTTCTTCGAGGAGCTGCGTGCTAGAAAGAGACGCAGAACCAATGCAGGATACCAGTAAGGAGGAGGCCACCCTACAGTCATATGCCTGGTTCATATGGTGCTTTGAATGTATGTGTCACTTGGAAGATGACACTTATTTTCTCTGTTGAATAAAGGGGTCTTGCTGCAACCAATGTTATCCGAACAATTAGTGCAAAGAGTACTGACTTGCAGTTACTATTGTAAAGTGTTACTTGTAGGGTGACGGGTTGTTAGTTTTGGGGTTAGTGTTTCATGTCCAATGTCTTTGTTGATTTATAATGATGCCTTAACTTTGAAGCTCATAATTAAAGATTACTTGAAACATTTATGAAGAAAATAAATTTTGCTGCAGCCCTGTATGCTTTAAAAAGATGACGTTGTCTATAATGTGTACTTCCCGTGTCCAGTATGTCACTTTGACTGCACTAAATGCCAGTGTGTTTACATTTAAGAGTTTTTCTGATAGCAACCAGTTAAGACGAACTTGTTTGTAAAAGTGGTGTCAATAAATATCAGTTTTATGTGGATTCATGCTCCATATGTTTCAAGTGCACAAAACAACCCAATGAGATCAAATGAATTCCGTAATATCAAACCAGTTTATTTTGAGGATGCCCAAGTTAACCACTGTTATGCACCTTTTGAGGTGACAGTAGAAAAATAGATTCAGTGAAACTAAATGCAACTTAATATCAATCTACAAACATGTTTTCTATGATACCGTACAAGTACAATGTACCTGTTCAACACAAGCAATCACACATTTCAGATGGTTCCGTTTCAAAAGGTGCTAAATAACACTATGTACACAAAACAAGCTACATGAGATTTCAAAGGAGTATTTGATGCAGGCTGGTAAGCTGGTAGAAAAGAGCTTGCATAGACATCAAAGTCACTTCTCCAATAAAAGCCCGGCCGCAGGCGGGGGAAGGCACTGACTTGTCTACAGCAAAGAGCAAAACAAGGACTTTTATTCAATGGTACATTGTCCAGGAAAATAAAACAACTACCCAAACATGAACATGGGGAGGAATCTGGAGTTTTGCATTTTTTCCCCATGAAGCAACCTAGATGGAAAAATTATTTTTCTGCTTGGCAACTTCATCACTGCTAAGCTGAGCGCTAATGTCTTCAGATCCTTCTCATATTCCTGTTGCTTTAAAAGTAAAGGAAAATAGGGGCGGGGGGGACATCTCTACAAACATGGTAATCCACAACACCTACAACATTGAACAAACTGCCCTAATGCATAACATTTAAGAACAAAATAGATTCTGAGACACAATCTTTATGTTTTATACCACACATTCTTAGTGAGATTTCAGGACAAAGACAAGTACACAGTGTTGTCCACTACAGTAAAAACACAAACCTTCAACAACCACTAAAATGTGATAGAAACCATTAAAAATTCATCAGAACATGTGGAACTCAATTCATTATATACAATTTCCATTGGAGATATGAGCCAGCAATCGCCAACTTCTCTTCAATATAAGATTCCTTTTGTTCAAAATTCATTTGTTCCTTTTCCCTTCAGCTAACAGACAGGTGGCTCCTACAGTGCAACGATACTTGTATGTGAGGTTGTATGCCAGCTGTTGGCTGTAACAGGCTTTTGTGTGTGTGTACTCGCAGGGTTCTGGAGCTACAGACGCTGTGGCTCTTTAACAGTATATTTAACAGTAACAACGCTGGAGGTGCAGGTCCACAATCTCCCATGAGGTGGTGAGATGGAGGCCAGATGTATGTACATGGTTTTGGTGAACAGAACAGTCAAATAAGCAATTAACGGGTTGCGATATAATGACATCATTTAATTGAAGGTAGCTAAAACTGAATATTCCAAGCACTGGTTAAGGCTTTAGATTTGATTAATTGATGCTACTGAATTAAAAACAGAACAAGAGGGAACTCCAGCACCCTGACCACCGTACTCCGTGCCAAAATACTCTGATATGTACAAACAGACCTGACTAAAGATGGAAGCATACAGTACAGAGATTGTCTAAACACCTGTGTGTACTAAAGTTATCCTCACACACAGAAACACCTGTTCCAGCTGAAAAACTAACACACCCCCAGCACTTCGTCAGTTGTCATGGCACCCCTATATTTCCGCATCAGTAATGAACCTGCCCGCGATACTCCTGTCTGCCTCTAAGCTAGACACTGAGAGGCTGTGATAGTTAAAGCCTGACACAATGATCAGACTGGGTTACAGGAGAATGGAGCTCTGATGACCTACTTCCTGTCAGGTCCAATTCCTGCTTTTGTGGCCTGTCCCTCAGCACTGCAGAACCAGGGCCAGGAGGAGGGAAACTAGTAAGGTGGGTTGCTATAGGCATGCTACAGGAAAAAATGGAAATACAAGTCAAGGGAGGAAAAGAACACATCCCGAAGAATTTACATATGATTTTTATCATAATACTGTCTGTCCCACATTGGGTGCCATTGTTTGCTTGTGTAAATTAAGATTCTTATCCTGCCATCTCCTCATTACTTGCTGAAAATAACAGAGACAACAGAACCAATGAAAAGAAAGTCTTAAAACATCAGTTCATAACTGAGCTACATCTAGTGTTGTGACCTCCTCATGCAGGATTCACACAGCATAGAGCAAACCTCTTTCTTTACAATCAAACTCAAGAGACCAATCCATCCCAGTAGAGCCTGAGTCATCCTCTAAACCAGCAGGACTTGGGCTTGCGGAGATCAATTACAAGCATCGCCAATTAACCTACATCTCTTACTCTTCCCATACTCTTGACTGTGTGATGGATAGCACAGTGTGATAGAGGTAGGACAAAAGGAGAGATCCTATAAATAGCAACCATCGACCACCCCTTTTCCCTGCTCCTCTCAAACACACACACACACACATATACACAGGCACACATTTAGTGCTTTGCCATCCATTGTGATGGCCACTCATCACGCTTTCCCTTTTCTTAACTCAACCTTTGGCCCTCAACTGGGGTTAAAGTGCAGATTTCTTATAAGGGTAGTCAGGCTTGCTGGGTGACCTGCGGTCTCTGGTGATCTCTTCGCTGACACTGTTCCTGTGAGGCTGCTGGAGGGGCCCCAGGCCTGATGATTCTCCAGCTAGAACCATCTCCTCTGGGGCATCTCTAGTTCCTGTGTGCCTCTCCTCATAGTTGTCCATGTTCCCACTGGGAGACCGTAAATGACCCAAGCCATGAGTCAGGTCTGTCTCATTTGATCGCCCCCTTGGTGTGTGTCCCATTCTAGGCTGGGCCCCAGAGGGGCTGGCAAGGACTCCATCATGCCTCTGAGAGGTCATGCTGAGTACATCCAGACGTAGTGAGTCTGGGGCAGTTCGTCCCTGCAAGTGACCTTGGGACTGAGAGTCAGAAATGTAGGGGGGTGGATAAGAGCTGGAGGGGGTGCAGCTGTGACTGTAGAGGTCTGGTCCTGAAAAGGAGGGCAGAGGGTGAGCAGAGGTCGGGGTTGCAGGTCGGCAGGAGAAGTCATACAGGTCAGGGAACTCGGCTTGAGCCTCCAGCTTGGGTTCGGGAGCGTGTCTCTTGCAGGAGTGACCATGCCCAGGACCGTGGCCATGGCTGAGGCGGGAGGAAGGGCAGGGCCCATGGGGTAGATGGCGGCCTGAGGGGCCCATTGGGCTGTGAGGGCTTTCCCTGTCCATCTCTGCCATGTGCTGCTCCCTTAGGGACATCACCGACACACCCAGTGCAATGTCAGGCATGAACTCCCTTATAACAGGCTCCATGCCCATCTGCATCGGAAAACAGATAAAAAATGTGTGACATTACCTGACAGTTGAGCTACTCATGATCCCAGGCACAAACCATAAAGCCGCATTTGAATAAACACAAATGTAGCACAAGGACTCTAGGAAGTAACACACACACTCACCGCTTGCCGGTCTGAGAGCAAAACTCGGCCCATAGCTTGCGGGTTGGTACAGTCTGGGGGCTGGGGCCTGGGCACAGAGGAGTAGTCTGAGCTGCCATGCTTGGCGGCTGCATGGCGCTGGATCAAGGTGCGGTTGCAGGGGTAGGAGAAGGAACGGGTGGGGGTGGGCATGGGTACACGGGGTCGCCAGGCACCCTTGAGCTGAGCATGGCTGGGTGTGGCAGGTGGGTGGTAGGGGGGAGGTGGAGGAGGTAAAGGAGGGTGGAAGCCTACTACCCCTTCCAGCTCTGTGAACATGCTATCCATGGCTGGGCTGCTGTTTACCCGACACCGACCCACCTGGCGCAGAGCCAGAATTGGACTCTCATCTCCGAACCGTTCATCGGGGAAGAACTTGTATGGGTTCTGAAACAACAAAAAAGGAGTTCAACAAATCTATATCCGTAGTCGTGATGCCAAAGCAAACCCTATTTTAAAAGTTCTTCTTAAGATTTATCTGCCTGGGTTCAAGGTTGCGTCTGCTGCGTTACTGAGGTCTGTGTGGCCCCAGCCGTAGGCCCTGGTTTGTCCTGTCTAACCTTGGAGACAAACTCTGCTGTCTGCTAACCTGCAGTAGCTCAGTGGCGCCGTCTGCCAGACCAAACTCCCTCAGCACCCGCAGCTGTAGCTCATAGCTGACGGTGGCTCCTTCACCACAGTTGAGGGCATAAGCTCTCTGGACCTGCTCTGTGTGTCTCAGTTCCTGCAGCCTCCGGATCATCTCCTTTACGACCGACAGCTGCGGCACTGAAAGATGAACACAATACAAACATGTACATCAATGGATTTTTATATTCATATTAATATAATAGCCTGATCATTTTTTGATTCAGAATTTTTTTTTTGGCCCACCTGGAATTTCATTGGCCACAACCGATGGTGCCGTGGTTGAGTTGCTTGCCATTTGCTGGTGGCTGATCATGTGACAGCACTGAGGCACAGCATTGTTGACCATATAGAGTGTGTCTGGTACGTTGGACATGCGCACTAATCGCAAACGCACCAGGTCTGTCTGCTCCACCATCATTTCATCAAGCACAGACTAAGGACAGGTAGACGAGATAGGGCAAGTTAGACCAGAACTTCTAAAAAATACAAGTCCTATGTGCAACTCAAGGACACTGAGAGGGTTTGCAAATTAGTTCCACTTGATTGACACTTCATCTAATAATGACTCTCTCTGGTCTAGGGATATGTTCATAAATATTCATGGCCCTGGGAAGGCCTATGAGTTATTAGGAAAAGTGTGCAAATGGACATAAATTGAATTTCATTCAAGATGATGGAGGCAACTATAAAAAAAATGGTGAGTATGCATAGCAACATCCAGGCATGGATTATTTTAGCATGTCTGAGCTATGAACAGGTCCACAAATTTCCCCAAGGCTCTTTGATGATAGCTATATGGGGCACAAATAATCCACTTCTTCCTGTGTTGTCTGGAAGCGGCATTAATCAGAAGTGAATGAACCTTACCTTAGCCTCCTCCACGTATGGAGAGAAGAGGCGGGGACGCACATAGATGCCAGCGTTTTTCTGCCGTAACCACGCATTGGCTTTTCCCCCTTCAGCTGTGGGCAGCATGTCTGAAGGAGGGGTGCTTATCAGACCCCTTTTAAGCTGTGAACAGGGTGAAGAATGTGGCTCAATGCTCAGTTTATGATAGTCATAATGACTCAGGTGCACACTCATACGCACACAGAAAAAGCAGACATGGAGTACTGACCGCGTCAGAGAGGACGTCACTGTTGGAAGGTAAGATGTGCTCAGTCCGGATGAAGGGCAAGAGGGGAGACAGGATCTCCTTTAGCTCCTCCACATCCAGGTCTCTCCTTTCACTCCCCTCTTGTTTACGCTGTGGGCTGTCCCGCTCAACAGATTGGGCTCTAGGTAAATGAGGACAGGAATAGCCATTAGCCGCCTTTTAATATAATGCATATAACCATGACTATTTATGTAACTATGATTATGCTTTTAATTTAACCTGCTGGCTATTTTTCACATAATTCAGGTGAGCTCAGTTTAACAAATTATGGATAAATAATGCCTTGCCTGCTGTGTGGTTCAGCTTCCAAAAGCAGGTTGCTAGCCGTTACAATACGAGGACTAACAACCTTGACCACAGACCCTACAGAAAACAATTGCTTACTGGGTCAGAACACACAATGACATGACCAATCACTTATGAGGCCACTTCCTGTTGACTTGGGTAAAGTTTGGCTATTTTTTGTATTGCTTTTAATTGTATTTGGGGGGCTCTGGTAAGTGGGTAATTTCCTCAGAGCCATTAGGGGGCTGCTCAAAGGGTAATTATAGTGTGTATTATCTTACCCCTGTCTGCCATCCTCTTAATAAGCTGCTGCTCGCCCCACTTAACAACATACTTGAGAATGTCCTGTTCACTCGCCTGTGAATAAGACCAAGGTACAGAGAAAAAGAAAGACATTTTGTGTGTGTGTGTGTGTGTGTGAGAGAGAGAGTGAGAGAGAGAGAGAGAGAGAGAGAGATTATTAGGACATGGTTAAACATTGTCAAGAACAAAACTGGGAACCTATTAAATGAGGGTAAGCTGAAAATGCAATATGTTCCCGGCAAAGCTCAGGCTTGTTTTGTTTGTTTGTGTAGTTGAATTACAACACTTCACCTCAACCATCTGGTCTAATGCCCAAGTAGCTTGGCTGTGCAGATGACAGCTCAGCTTTGATTAGGTTCTGGGGTTGAAGGCATTTCCCTCCAGGGAAGAGACAATTCTGGAGACCCTGTGTGTCGTCGGGTGTGTATATGCGTATGGTGTGTGACCGAGGCAGAGATTGTGTAATGCATCTGTGTGTGTGTGTGTGTATGTGTTTACTGTATTTTCACCAAGCAATCATTGTGAACATGTCAGACACCCATTACTGAAGCTCCACACCAGAAAACGTATCTTCCACATTGTCAGATGTCATGGAGAGTGACAGGTAACGTTCTGTGTCCTTACCTGTAGGTAGTCAGACTGAATTGCGCTGAGAAGGTGCTCCTTGCTAAGCTCGTAGAGAACATCTGAGGTGACAACCTGACTGAACTCCTCGCAGAGGAAGTGCATGGCCTGCCTGTGGACCCATTTGGAGCCATAAGGCTGGGAGCTCCACTTCAAGATGGGGACGAGCGAGTCCAGAGACAGGCTTTCCACAACGATGTCCTCACAGCCTGGGACAGCCAATGAGAGAGACAAGTAATTTAAATTGACAGTCAATCACGTCTCTTTATGGGCACAAGTGTATCATATTCCAAATACAATTACAGATATTCAGGCCAGCAATACTTAACAAAAGCTAGTAGAAAATAAATTCAATTGAAAATTATTCAACTGAACGATTATTAGAATACAAGCAGTAATTCTGCAGGCACTGCCAGACCATCAGTAGTTTTGACTCGTATTCACTGACCCAGGGAGTCTCCCTCTAGTAGCCCCCACATCCTCCTTGCTGCGTTTCCTAAATCAGAGCACATACCAGAACAGCAGGCAGTGGTTTAACTCTGTAACACACCAACCCACAGAAATGCCTTTGATACCTTGATGTGTTTCAGTCTCAAGCTGCCTCCTCTTAACCGTGATGAGTAAACATAGCAGCCAAAGGAAATGTGCTGTCGATGCAAGAGCACACACACTTTGCAAATGTGTACACACTTGTGTGCATAATTCCAAAATGCATTAAAAATCCACAGAAGGCTTAGGGAATTATGTACCTGCTGCTCTAGCCATTAAAAAAAAAGAAAAAAAAAAGATCTACGTTTTGAAAATTCAGCCTGGCACTCAAACTCATGCTTATTCTAAGAGGGATCCATTTAGGCAGAATTAAACACCCTAACATCCACTTAGACTAACATATGATTGGTTAGGTCAAGCATCTATGCCAAACCCCAACATACCAGAGTGCCAGAGGCCCTTATTCTCAGCCTTTCTATGATCAATAATGTTTAATACAAAACGGACATCCATGGAGATACAGCCAGACTGACTGACGACCAGTTAGTGCTGCTCTGATCTGAAACACAAGCTTGTGCCAACTTCCTCATTCCAGGCAGTTCTGTCCATCAGTTCATGGTTGGGCCAGTAGCCTCGCTCCTCAGGGAAACTCTTATCTTAAACTAGAAGATCTAAGCTGCCCTTCCTCCACAAACTACCACTTTGAACATACACTCTTGGAAACTGGACACCAGACTTCAGAGTGATGGCTCCAGTGATGCTTTCGCTTTTGAATCTGATGCCTCATATCCGTCCAAGCACAAATTGTTAAGATGAACACACACGCGAACACGAACACACACACACACGATGCATTTTTCCTTCTGGGGCTTCTGTAGTTATAATAGCGAGTTACAGAAATGCAAAGCAGACACCCACAGTGTTTTAAACGAAGGGTGAAAATCCTGCATCGTTAAGTAGACTGATGTAGATGAAATGTGGACCCAGGCACTTTGCCTTTTTTATCTGCTATAAAACTGACTCGAAGAGGGAATGGATTCTCAACATCTGTGCCTCCATCTCCACCACTCGTCCCTGTGCTGTCTGTCTTCTAGAAAGTGCTTTTGCTCATGTCAGTCTTTCACCTTTGCTTCTTTGCAAATGCAGACACACAGGCACACACGGCACGAAGGCAGACAATTCCCCACTTGCGACCAGTGGCACAGGAAAGCAAACAGCTCTGCTCTGTTAGCCCATTAGAATTCACAGCAACAGCCAGTCTTTTAAAACGTAGCACTTTTATTATGAGCTGGAGATTAGAATCAGCATTATATCTAATACTAACCTGCCTCCCCTTCTCTCCATGGGTGATACACCACATTCACTGGAGCTCATCTTACTGACAAGAATATCAACACGACAGCAGTAACAGCAACATCCCGCCCTGCACTACACCAACTTATGCACATTTTGTGCATTTTGTCTCGCTGTTATTTGGAGCTCTGTTTATGGATCACACAGTCTCCAAAGCCACTTAAAGCATCAACTGCACTCAATAGGCCTGTAAACAAGTCTGTGGATGTAAATGATGTCTGATGATCACTTAAGGACTGGGACTTCAGATGACACACTCCAAAACACAGGATAGGGCAGTGAAAGAACTGGTCAGTCAGTGAGCGTGGAGGAAGAAGAGGCACTTCAGTGCACACACACTGAAACCACACCAACAATTATCTCTGTGGTGCACTTGAAAAATTAATAAGGCTTTTAATATTGGTTGCTATCTGAGTGAGATGGAGTCATAAAGGGATACACATCTTGAGAATTAATAAGGAGGAATGACAGAGAGCTCAACTGCTCCACAAAAACCTCCAAGGGCCAAAACTTCCCCCAGTCAGAGGGTAGCAGTTAAGGGCAAGATAGCCCGCTCATCTGTCACACTATCTCCATATGAAACTCCTGACATAAGCCTCTCTGCTGCCTCCTGAAGAGACGAGGCAGCTACTGAAGACTCCAGCGGTGGGATGGACACATTTTTCATTTCATGATCAACTCACAGATGCCAGGATGATTTGACACTTTTTGGAGTGTGTAAGGCCAAAATTTAAATAAAGGGGTCTCCAAAAGGGTAATAACAGGAAATTAGAACATAGAAGAAGATAACTTGAATAAAATGACGCCGGGTCAACCTTGACCATCTCACCACATTCCATATTGAGGTTTCATGGGAACTGATTAGAGCGGTGCAGCACAGTGGGAGAGAGGAGAGGGGATAAAAATACCCTCGAGAAGGTTGTTGGAGGGGGGAGGGGAAGGAAGAGGACGTGATGTTGTGTGGGGATGACACCATTTGCCTGCTCATCGGCTTAAGCTGCCAGAGTGACCCTCGTAGTAGGTTCGTGTAGGTGGAAAGGAAACACTAGAGATGGAGGATGGGAGGTGGATTTCTAACCAGCTGTGTGTATGGTGTTTGTGTACAGTGCTATATGGATCACTGCACAGGTCTTAAAAAAGTGATTGCTCCATTGCCCTTCAATCAATTAAACAGCTGCCCATAACTAATCCTGTGCTTTTGAAAGATTTTCTACAAGCATGTTTACTTTTATAGAGTGCATTGTATTGCAGAAATGTCTTACTGTATGTCGTTCGCACAGCTTCCCCTTTGGACAGCTTTTTTTTTTTTTTTTATCATTTTCAAGCTTCAATAGACAAACATCCACACCCATTGAGATTGTACCATATACTAAATTAGTATCAATACTGGAGTGTGAGTTTACACAAAAATACCTTGTAAAGGGCTGCAATATCGGCTTACTGGTGAATCTATACATTTACAGTGAATTCAAGTTTGGAAGTTTTATATATCCATGTGTTAGCACAGCAAACACAGAGGCTAAAACACCTCTGAGGATGTGTGTGTCTGCAGCTGCTTCACAGTAAAAGCCACAGAGAATTTGATGAAAGCAAGGCATAAGGCAAGGAGGTGTCACTGGAGGGCTTTTACTGTAAGACAGCTTCACTGAAGTGTTTTGAGTTACAACAAAGTATACTGAGTGCATTTTGAATATGCTGAATATCATTGTAACTTAAACTGAAAATAACACTGTTTTGATTTCATTACACAGCTTTAGGCAGTGAAATTATGAAAGTGTGCTTAAATCGTCATCTCATACCACCATTCAATATTTCACAAACTAATTTGCATCATTGTGGCTTTATGAAAGATAAGATGGATATAGGATATGATAACTGAATGTCTGGTCTGCTGACTTTACCCAGCAGTATGTTTTTCTGTATAAAGTCGCTGAAAAGACACAGAACTCGTCTTCTGGATTTTTCCACCCACGATTCCGTTTCCAGCAGCAGGTGCTCTGCATGTGGAGAAGGCTTGTCAATGACATAGCCTATCAAAACGAAACCAATGTGGTAGCTAACGAATGACATCTGCACTGGTGTGTTCACTGTTGCTTTACCTCGTCCTTGCTTGGGAAATATCTTATAACAGAGAACATCTCTCTCTGTGTTTCTCTGCAAAATGCTAAAATGGGTCACCATTTATACCTGGGCAGCCGTTAATATGGGCAAGTAAAGTCTAAATGTGGGAAACACTGCTGTTAAGTCATACAACTCTCTGGATCCACACAGTCAATGCAGGCAGGCCAAATGCATAGACTGCTTCAAGTATTGCATATTGCAAAGGATGAAGAGGAGTTTTGTTTGGTGTGTGTTCAAAGTGGACAGTGTTAGAGGAGGTTAGAGTGATAAAATGACTGCCTCATGTCAAACCATGGTTGTAACCTTTGACATGTTACTGGGGTCATTCTGTCAAGACTTTAGGGTTGCAACGGTATTAGATTTTCACAGTATGATAACAGTATACAAAATATCACGGTAACACAATGTTATTATAGTTTTTTGGTTGAACACTCACTTAATTATAATATTCTGCACAGGAAGACACAAAGCTTCATATATATTATAAGAACACTAATAAGGTAGAATTAAATATATAATACAGCAGATAAGCAAATGTAGATGGCATATCACGGTATACCGTGAAACCAGCTACTGCTGCAAGTCACACAGTGTCATCTGAGTAATGATAGATCTGTGACGAGCTGTTGACAGAAGCTCAGATGTGCTGCATGTTCAGAACGTAAGCTGTCTGCTCCTGGAGACACAAACAAACCCTCCAGCCTATATCTATCTGTCACGGGCAGCTCGCACACCCATCATAGTCAACAAGCTGTTTAACAATAGCCTGATCTGCACAGCCATATTGCACATATGCCAACACGCACAATGTAGTTTTAAGGAAAGGGTGAATATTAAAGTAGGCCAATATCTTGCAAGACTAATTCACAAAAGCCGCACTAATTCTGACAGTCCAGACGGAGAATTAACATTGGAATTCATGGTGAAGGCTATTTAACTACATTATAACAGTTGGTATTAGGGCTGAATGATTAATTGCATATGCGATTTTATCGCGATATGATGAAACGGGATTTTCTAATCACAAAGGCTACGATTACACTCACATGACACGCGAGAGTAAACCAGTCTGCAGAGGAAGCATCAACTTCGCACATTACAACTTGTTGTTGTATAATGGCATTAAGCTTGACAGAAGATGACACTACAGAAACTTTGTATCACACAGAGAATGAAATTAGCCACCGAGTAACTTGTTGGTGGGTGAAATTGTCGGGCCATCTGCTGCTTGACAGATAGAAAAAATGCACAAAGAAAGACACATGTAGTAAGGTAAGCGTATTGTGGCGATCGACGTCTGCTTCACACATACAGCCACCAGTCAGCTCAGGAAATATCTGTGAAATGGCGTTTCAAACCCAACGCACAAGTCCAATAGAGTTCTCATAATCTCTTTTTTTTTACTCCTCAATGTGGCCCTAATACTCCGTCGTACTTATCTGAAGATATAATATCATTATTTAAAGCCAGTATGAGAGAAGAAATATATGCACTGAAAAAAAAAAAAAAAAATCCCTTTTATGGTTAAAGGTCAATCTGATAGTATGTCTTCATATAGATTTACGGTCATATTGCGAAGCTATAATGATGCACCGCTAAGTATGGATATATATA